ATACCATGTCTGTGAAACCTCACTCTTTCTTTCTCTCTTTTGTTGGTGTAATTCAAATGGCTCAGAAGCTCTCTATTTATAGAGATTCTATACCCCTACAAATGTCATCAGTGACATCAAAAGAAAGGAATTTTATTTTCAAATGATGACTTTTAAGCAATTCAAAAATAACAGTGGCTGCCATTTTAGAAAAAGAAGACAAAGGAAGAAAGTTGTCTTTCTTAATTTATGGGCTGAACTCCACAGTTATGATGTGTGTGGAGCCCTATTGAATGCCAGTAAATTTTTACATTAGGGCACTGTAGAAAAATATGGGTAGCGGTTTCTTGACTTGTATGGCAAAATTGGCAAATTAGTTGGGGTTATGCTAATGGAGTTAAGGAAGTGTTGTGTTGTTAGCCTATTGTGTTGTAGTAGCCACATAAAACTTTTTACTTTTGGGGGTATCAAAAGCTTCCAAATCCAGTTCCAATTGTGAGAAGTTGATCAGCTTAACGTGTCGACTGGGACACGCTTTTGTCTATTAGCTAGGGTATGATACATGGAGTTCACTGAGAATTGGCCCGTAGGAGTTATGCCCCAACAAGTGCGGTCTGATTGAGTAGTGTATAAAGAGATGTAGTTGTCGCGTATGTTATTCGTAATGATTTAGGGTAGGTCGAATGCAATATTTGTCCAGTCCCAACTTAATTGGGTTAAATACGTGGATACTTTCAGAATGCAATACGAGGTCCTTGTATGAGAGATCTAAGAGTCGTGCCTGCCGTCACCCAAGGATCATTCCAGAAGTTGATATGCTTACTCGTTCCAATATTCCATTTAAGACCAATTTGACAATGTGTCCATCCTTTGAGAACATTACGCCAAATGTATGAATGATTAGTAACTGTAGATGCATGTAGATATTTATGAAGGAGTGTGGTAACCTAAAGGGGCTTCTGGAGAATGGAAAATTCTCCAAGCAAGACTGGCTAATAGGGCATTGTTTTTGTGCCGTAGTTGTTGTGTGCCTAGAATCCCACTATCTTTTGGCGCAGTAATAGATTGCCAATTTAGAAGATGTAATTTTTTTCTTGTTTGAGTCGTACCCCAGAGGAAATTACGCTGATACTGTTCTATTTTATGGATGATAGAGCGTGGGATAGAGATGTATTGCATTACATGATTTGGTAGGGAGTTTAGAATGGATTTAACAAGGGTAGTTCGACCCGCCATTGTGAGAAAGCTAGTTTTCCAACCTACCAGACGAGTCTTAAAGTTGTATAGTAAAAATTAAAAATATGTGTTTTTAGGGCGGGACAAAAAATTGAAAATCCTAGGTATTTACCAAAAGACGTCCCCTCTGGCATTTGGAAAGTGTTTAGAATAAATTTTTTATTAGCTTGAGAGCAATTTTTTGAAAAAATGATCTTTGATTTTTGAAAGTTGATCTTTTGGCTGGAATGAAGCGTAAAGTGATTTAGTATGTCAATTATAGCATGACAAGTCTTTGTACTAATTTTGGATAGTAAACATGATATCATCTGCGAAGAAAAGATGCAATAAAGCAGGTCCCGTTTTGGAGAGGCGTATTGGTATCCAATTAAGATAATCCACAGAAAGGGAATTGCTACTGAATAATAGCTCCATGCACATAATGAATAGATAAGGAGATAATAGATCTCCCTAACGAATTCCTCTTGAAGGGCAGAAGAATTGAGTTTTGGAGCCATTGATTAAGATTGAAGTAGAAGTCGTAGTAATGTTGGACATTATTAGGGAGATAAGGTTTTTAGGGAAGTTGAAGCAAAGTAAGGTTTTCCTAAACAAAGACCATTCTAGAATGTTACTTGATAAGTTTTTTTTAATAACAATAAAATAAATACGAGATTTTAGTACTTAAAGAAGTTAACAAATGAGTCATGTGCATGTTATCTGCATCTTTTTCCATATGAAAGCACTGCTAGGGTTAGGTATTTTTTTGTCTAAATTATTTAGTGACAACAATATGTGCATAATGCTAGTATAAAATTTAGTTTAGTAGATTCTAATTACATAGGAAAGAAAATCAAAGTCACTTGATAGCCATTTCTATCATTTTTCAGTAAGGCTTTGGCTTGTACTGGAAAAGAGAGAGAACTTCAGTGAAGAAATATCTCATGTCTTTCAACTACGCCTACGTTAGCAAGGTAATCAACTAAAAATTTACTTCCCCGTGATAATGTATTACTTGAAACCTCCCTAAAGCCATCAGTTGGTTAATCTGCAGATTAAGCTCATGATCTGCCACATAGGTAGAGTACTGCTGCCATCCTAGAAAAAAACGTATATCAGAAATCTCAAGAATACATAAGAACAATCAATGTAAATTATAGTTTTACAGTAAAAAATAACTTACAGCTACACGGCTTCAACATTACCATCTTTTGGAAGAAATCCAAACCAATGTTGTTTGAAGAGATCATCCTCAACTCCTTCGCCATCTTTCTTTCTATCTCGGGAAAAAAATTATAAATTGAGAAGCACATTACCAATATCAGAGCAGCAAATAGCATGAATATCCAAGCCTTGAGAGCATAAAGGAGCATCAAAACGGATGGATTCATGATTACGGACATGAGCAAAGATATGCTCGTCTCCCAGCATGCGCCTAACGCTCTAATCTCTACGGCGTACAATTCTTCAGTCCACTTAGAATGCCCCGACAACATTAGAAAAAACAGCAGCCTATGACGGGGATGATAAATGTCATGCCAACATAGGCACTCTTTTGGCTTAGTTGAAAGATATGGTCTCCTACCAAAAGGAAGAGACCCAACAAGGAAACCTAGAAAAATCCGAGAAGAGTGATATCAAGTTACGTATGCTATATTTCAGTTAATTAAAATTGATCTATATAAAGAAAACCTAAATAAAAAAGAAATGAAGAAGTACCTGTGCTAAAATCATGCCTAAACATGCCGAGACTATAGTCCTCCGTCGGTCGAAGAAATTGTAACTCGGATAAGTGAGCCCAACAACTCCAGCTCGAACAACTCCGGTAATAAGCGGAGTGACGAAGGAGGCATTATAGGTGTATCCAGCTGACTGCAGAAGTAATGGTCTAAAGAATAGTATTAAGTCTAAGCAAAATACTTGCTGGAAAATTTGAGCCACTATATCAAGAAGTAAAAGGGGCGAGTGTGACAGTTTCTTCCTTTTCCTCTTGCCTTCATTTTCCATCATGCCTGCCAACATCTGCAATTTTGCTTCTGCTCCACATTTCCTCAACATCTTAAGGGATGCTTTTGCCTTCTCCATACGCCCTTTCTTAATGAGAAACCTTAGAGTCTCACTAAAAAAAGAAACATAATACAAGAAGTGGCAAAGTCAAAAATCCACTACTGGCAAAGGACCACTCAAACAATAACGGAAGTTGCAAGATCTTGCAATGTCCATTGCTTTCATGCTTGTACTTTCCCATAGCACCGTGGAGTTATAAGCAAAGGAAATCCACTTTTGTGCCTTTCCAACATTGATCTCACTCAATATAATGGGAATCACCTCCAAGATTAAAACTAGTTTAAGTGTTTCATGCAATATGAAACACAGAAGATTTAAAACTATATATTTTGATATTTCATACTTCACAACATTGCAAATGATAGTAATGGTTAATTGGATAATACTAACCTTGAACACTCATATTTACAGCAACTAATTTGGCACAAGCCAAAGGAGAAAAGATTAAACCTACATTAACTCATCCTCCATGATCAAGGCATAGATATATTTAAAGCATATAAATCTTATTATGAATATTATAATAAGAGAATTTATGTGCATACCCGAGAGATTAATGTTAGTTGATGAGTTTTTTCACAATAATAAAGTAAATATGAGATTTTAGTCCTTTAAGAAGTTAACAAATAAGCCATGTGCATGTTATGTGCATCTTTTTCCATGTGAAAGCATTGCTAGGGTAAAGTATTATTTTTGTGTAAATTATTTTAGTAAAATAAATATGTGCATATACTAGTATAAAATTTAGTTTAGTAGATTCAATTAAATAGAAAAGAAAATCAAAGTCACTTGATAGTTATTTCTACCATTTTTCAGTAAGGCTTTGGCTTGCACTGGCAAAGAAAGAGAGCCTCAGTGAAGAATATCTCATGTCTTTCAATTACGCCTACATTAGCAAGGTAATCAACTAAAATTTTTCTTCCCCGTAGCAATGTGTTACTTGAAACCTCCCTAAACCCATCAGTTGGTTAATCTGCAGAATAAACTCCTGATATGCCACATAAGTAAAGTGCTGCTATCATTCTAGAAAAGAACATATACCCAAAAACTCTCAAATACATAAGAAAAATCAATGTAAATTATAGTTTTATAAAAAAGAATAACTTACAACTACACGGCTTCATCTTTCCCATCTTTTGGAAGAAACCTTTTCTAAAACCAATGTTGTTTGAAGAGATCTTCCTCAACTCATTATCCATCTTTATTTTTTCTCTCGGGCAAAAATTTATAAATTGAGAAGCACATTCCCAATGCCAGAGCAGCAAATAGCATATATATCCAAGCCTTGAGAGCAAGAAGGTGCATCGAAACAGATGGATACATGATTAGGGATATGAGCAAAGATATGCTCGTCTCCCAGTATGCGCCTAACGCTTTAATCTCTTCGGCGTAAGATTTTTCAGTCCATTTAGAAGGCCCCGAGAACATTAAATATCAGCCGATGACGGGGATGACAAATACCATGCCTGCATAGGCACTCTTTTGGCTTAGTTGAAAGATATGATCTCCTATCAAAAGGAAGAGACCCAACAAGAAAACCTGAAAAATTCCTGGAAGAGTGATATCAAGTTACGTATGCTATATTTCAGTTAATTAAATTTGATCTATATAAAGAAAACCTAAATAGAAAAGAAATGAAGATGTACCTATGCTAAAATCATGCGTAAATATGCCGAGACTAGAGTCCTCCGTCGGTCGAAGGAGTTATAACTCGGATAAGTGAGCCCAACAACTCCAGCTCAAACAACTCTGGTAATAAGCGGAGCGATGAAAGAGGCATTATAGGTGTATCCAGCTGACTGCAGAAGTAATGGTCCAAAGAATAGTATTGAGTCTAAGCCCAACACTTGCTGGAAAATTTGAGCCACTATATTAAGAAGTAAAATGGGCGAGTATGACAATTTCTTCCTTTTCCTCTTGCCTTCATTTTTCATCATGCCTGCCAACATATGCAACTTTGCTTCTGCTCCACATTTTCTCAACATCTTAAGGGATGCTTTTGCCTTCTCCATACGCCCTTTCTTAATGAGAAACCTTGGGGTCTCATTATAAAAAGAAACACAATACAGGAAGTGGCAAAGCCAAAAACCCACTCCCTGCAAAGGATCACTCCAACCATAACGGAAGTTATGAGATTCTGTCATGTCTACTACTTTTGTGCTAGTACTTTTCCATAGCACCGTGGAGTTATAAGCAAAGGAAATCCACTTTGGTGCCTTTCCAACATTGATCTCACTCCATATAATGGGAATAACCTCCAAGATTAAAACTTATTTAAGTGTTTCATGCAATATAAAGCACAAAATATTTAAAACTATATGTTCTGATATTTTCTATTTTACAACATTGCAAATGATAGTAACGGATAGTTGGATAATACTAACCTTGGACACTCATATTTCCAGCAACTAATTTAGCACAAGCCAAAGGATAAAAGATTAAACCTATATTAACTCATCCTCCACGATCAAGATTGGATATATTTAAAATAAATAAATCTTATTACGAATATTATAATAAGAGAATTTATGTGCATACCAGAGAGATTAATGTCACTTGATGAGTTTTTTCACAACAATAAAGTAAATATGAGATATTAGTCCTTAAAGAAGTTAACAAATGAGTCATGTGCATGTTACATGCATCTTTTTCCATGTGAAAGCATTGCTAGGGTGAGATATTGTTTTTGTGTAAATTATTTTTGTAACAATAATATATGCATAATTCTAGTATAAAATTTAGTATAGCAGATTCAATTAAATAAGAAAGAAAATCAAAGTCACTTGATAGCTATTTCTATAATTTTTCAATAAGGCTTTGGCTTGCACTGGCAAAGAGAGAGAGCCTCAGTGGAGAAATATCTCATGTCTTTCAACTACGCATACATTAGCAAGATAATCAACTAAAAATTTGCTTTCTTGTAGCAATGTATTACTTGAAACTTCCCTAAACTCATCAATTGGTTAATTTGCAGAGTTAAGCTCATAATCTGCCACATAGGTAGAATGCTGCTGCCATCCTAGAAAAAAACATATACCCAAAATCTCAAGAATACATAAGAACAACCAATGTAAATTATAATTTTTTTTACAGTAATAAAATAACTTACAGCTACACGGCTTCAACATTGCCATCTTTTGGAAGAAATCAAAAACCAATGTTGTTTGAAGAGATCTTTCTTAACTCCTTCGCCATATTTCTTTCTCACTCGGGCAAAAATTTATAAATTGAGAAACACATTCTCAATGTCAGAGCAGCAAATAACATGTATATCCAAGCCTTGAGATCAAGAAGGTGCATCGAAACGGATGGATACATGATTAGGGACAAGGGCAAAAATATGCTCATCTCCCAACATGCGCCTAACACTTAAATCTCTTCGGCGTAAAATTTTGCAGTCCACTTAAAAGGCCTCGAGAACATTGATAAGCAGCCTATGAGGGGGATGAAAAATGTCATGCCAACATAGGCACTCTTTTGGCTTAGTTGAAATATATGGTCTCCTACCAAAAGGAAGAGATCCAACAAGGAAACCTGGAAAATTCCGGGAAGAGTGATATCAAGTTACGTATGCTATATTTCAGTTAATTAAAATTGATCTATATAAAGAAAACCTAAATAAAAAAGAAATGAAGATGTACCTATGCTAAAATCATTCCTAAACATGTCTAGACTAGAGTCCTCCATCGGTCAAAGGAGTTGTAACTCGGATAAGTGAGCCCAATAACTCTAGCTCGAACAACTCCGGCAATAAGCGAAGCGACGAAGGAGGCATTATAGGTGTATCCAGCTGACTGCAGAAGTAATGGTCCAATGAATAGTATTGAGTTTAAGCCCAATACTTTCTGGAAAATTTGAGCCTCTATATTAAGAAGTAAAAGGGGCGAGTATGACAATTTCTTCCTTTTCCTCTTGCCTTCATTTTTCCTCATGCCTGCCAACATCTGCAGTTTTGCTTCTGCTACACATTTTCTCAACATCTTAAGGGATGCTTTTGCCTCCTCTATATGCCCTTTCTTAATGAGAAACCTTGGGGTCTCACTAAAAAAATAAACACAATACAGGAAGTGGCAAAGTTAAAAACCCACTACCTGCAAAGGGCCATTCCAACCATAACGGAAGTTATGAGATTCTGCCATGTCCACTGCTTTGGTGCTAGTACTTTTCCATAGCACCGTGGAGTTATAAGCAAAGGAAATCCACTTTGGTGCCTTTCCAATATTGATCTCACTCCATATAATGGGAATCACCTCCAAGATTAAAACTTATTTAAGTGTTTCATGCAATATAAAGCACAAAATATTTAAAACTATATATTATGATATTTGCTATTTCACAATATTGCAAATGATAGTAACAGATAGTTGGGTAATACTAACCTTGAACACTCATATTTCCAGCAACTAATTTGGCACAAGCCAAAGGATAAAAGATTAAACCTACATTAACTCATCCTCCACGATCAAGATTGGATATATTTAAAATAAATAAATCTTATTACGAATATTATAATAAGAGAATTTATGTGCATACCAGAGAGATTAATGTTACTTGATGAGTTTTTTCACAACAATAAAGTAAATATGAGATATTAGTCCTTAAAGAAGTTAACAAATGAGTCATGTGCATGTTACGTGCATCTTTTTCCATGTGAAAGCAGTGCTGGGGTGAGATATTGTTTTTGTATAAATTATTTTAGTAACAATAATATGTGCATATTACTAGTATAAAATTTAGTATATCAGATTCAATTAAATAGGAAAGAAAATCAAAGTCGCTTGATAGCTATTTCTATCATTTTTAGTAAGGCTTTGGCTTGCACTGGCAAAGAGAGAGAGCCTCAGTGGAGAAATATCTCATGTCTTTCAACTATGCCTACATTAGCAAGGTAATCAACTAAAAATTGGCTTCCTCGTAGCAATGTGTTACTTGAAACCTCCCTAAACTCATCAATTGGTTAATTTGCAGAGTTAAGCTCATAATCTGCCACATAGGTAGAGTGTTGCTGCCATCCTAGAAAAAAACATATACCCAAAATCTCAAGAATACATAAGAACAACCAATGTAAATTATAGTCTTTTTTACAGTAATAAAATAACTTACAGCTCCACGGCTTCAACATTGCCATCTTTTGGAAGAAATCAAAAACCAATGTTGTTTGAAGAGATCTTCCTCAACTCCTTCGCCATCTTTCTTTCTCTCTCGGGCAAAAATTTATAAATTGAGAAACACATTCCCAATGTCAGAGCAGCAAATAACATGTATATCCAAGCCTTGAGAGCAAGAAGGTGCATCGAAAAATACATGATTAGGGACAACAGCAAAGATATGCTCACCTCCCAGCATGCGCCTAACACTTCAATCTCTTCGGCGTAAAATTTTTCAGTCCACTAAGAAGGCCTCGAGAATATTGAATAGAAGCCTATGAGGGGGATGACAAATGTCATGCCAACATATGCACTCTTTTGGCTCAGTTGAAAGATTTGGTATCCTACCAAAAGAAAGAGATCCAACAAGGAAACCTGGAAAATTCCGAGAAGAGTGATATCAAGTTACATATGCTATATTTCAGTTAATTAAAATTGATCTATATAAAGAAAACCTAAATAAAAAAGAAATGAATATGTACCTATGCTAAAATCATGCCTAAACATGCCGAGACTAGAGTCCTCTGTTGGTCGAAGGAGTTGTAACTCGGATAAGTGAGCCCAATAACTCCAGCTCGAACAACTCCGGCAATAAGCGGAGCGACGAAGGAGGCATTATAGGTGTATCCAGCTGACTGCTGAAGTAATGGTCCAAAGAATAGTATTGAGTCTAAGCCCAACACTTGCTGAAAAATTTGAGCCACTATATTAAGAAGTAAAAGGGGCGAGTATGACAATTTCTTCCTTTTTCTCTTGCCTTCATTTTTCATCATGCCTGCCAACATCTGCACTTTTGCTTCTGCTACACATTTCCTCAACCATTAAGGGATGCTTTTGCCTCCTCCATACGTCCTTTCTTAATGAGAAACCTTGGGGTCTCACTAAAAAAACACAATACAGGAAGTTGCAAAGCCAAAAACCCACTACCTGCAAAGGACCACTCCAATTATAACGGAAGTTATGAGATTTTGCCATGTCCACTGCTTTTGTGCTAGTACTTTTCCATAGCACCGTGGAGTTATAAGCAAAAAAAAACCACTTTGGTGTCTTTCCAATATTGATTTCATTCTATAAAATAGGAATCACCTCCATGATTAAAACTTATTTTAGTGTTTCATGCAATATAAAGCAAAAAATATTTAAAACTATATATTCTGATATTTCCTATTTCACAACATTGCAAATGATAGTAACGGATAGTTGGATAATACTAACCTTGAACACTCATATTTCCAGCAACTAATTTGGCACAAGCCAAAGGATAAAAGATTAAACCTACATTAACTCATCCTCCACGATCAAGATTGGATATATTTAAAATAAATAAATCTTATTATGAATTTTATAATAAGAGAATTTATGTGCATACCAGAGAGATTAATGTTACTTGATGAGTTTTTTCACAACAATAAAGTAAATATGAGATATTAGTCCTTAAAGAAGTTAACAAATGAGTCATATGCATGTTACGTGCATCTTTTTCCATGTGAAAGCATTGCTAGGGTAAGATATTGTTTTTGGGTAAATTATTTTAGTAACAATAATATGTGCATAATGCTAGTATAAAATTTAGTATAGCATATTCAATTAAATAGGAAAGAAAATCAAAGTCACTTGATAGTTATTTCTATCATTTTTGAGTAAGGCTTTGGCTTGCACTGGCAAAGAGAGAGAGCCTCAGTGGAGAAATATTTAATGTCTTTCGACTATGCCTACATTAGCAAGGTAATCAACTAAAAAATTTCTTCCCCATAGCAATGTGTTACTTGAAACCTCCCTAAACTCATCAATTGGTTAATTTGCAAAGTTAAGCTCATAATCTGCCACATAGGTAGAGTGTTGCTGCCATCCTAAAAAAAAACATATACCCAAAATCTCAAGAATACATAAGAACAACCAATGTAAATTATAGTTTTTTTACAGTAATAAAATAATTTACAGCTACACGACTTCAACATTGCCATCTTTTGGAAGAAATCAAAAATCAATGTTGTTTA